CCCGCCCGCCCCGCCTCACCCCCCTGACTTCTCCAGCCAGCAGGTCATGCCCACCGCACCAAAGCACGGCGTGGCGTGGTGCTCGACACAAGCGACCTTCACCCACACCGGCCGCAGAGACAGAGAGGTGGAGAGTGGAAGCGAGGTGTGTGTGTGTGTGAGAGTGAGAGAGAAAGACGGTGCCCTGCGTATTTTTAACTGACTGACTGTCGGTGGCGGGGCGTGGCGAGGCGTGGCGGGCGTGGCGGGGCGTAGCGGAAGGGCGTACCGGGCGCGCAGGGCGAGGTCGCCGAGCCGAGTCCAGCGGCCCACCACTATTTTTAGCAGCGCTACTCCGCCCCGCCCCGACCTAACCAAACATACCAGCCGCGAGGCGGGGCGGGGCGGGGCGGCGAAGGACGAGGGCGCAATGAGAGGGCAGAATTAGGACCGCGCAGTACGCGAGTCGGTCGTAGAGGAGCTGTGAGGATGAGAGAGAGAGGAGGCGACGTAAGGGTCCCTGGAAGTCCGCGAGTGGGAGGGAGAGCAACCGGAGAGACACGCGTGGCGCGTAGGAGACGAGCTATGAGCCGAGACGACCGCCAGGACGCCTCGACGTCCTCGAAGCACCCGGCCCCCCTTCCCCCCACGCTGCCCGACGCCCAAGGGGTGCGCGGCGCCCCCCGGGTCCCGGCAGTGTGACAAGTGTGACAAGCACGGCCCGGCAAAATGAATGGAGTGACGGGAAACCCAGCTGCGTAATGCAGGCGGGCAGCAGCGAGGCGCCGCGCCGGCGGCGGGGAGGCCGCCCAGGGTCGGCCGGCGTCGCGACGCCACCGCCTCGCACGCGTCGCGTCGCGTAGCGCGGCCCCGAAATACACGACTGGGCGCGGGCCGGGTGCGGGCCGGGCCGGCAGGATCAGCTAATCGACAACATTCCGCCATGATAACATGTTCCAGTAATTATGCCACCCAAAAAGTAAATAAAAACTACGTTACGCAATTTTATTCAAATTGGACGGTGGTACAGTCTAATTCTTTTTATTTCACGGAAAATTTGTCCGAGGACGGCCGCCGCGCCGTCGTCCTGTCCAGCTGCATGCAGTGCCCCGGCATGGTGTGGTGGCGTGAGGCGGGGTCGTCGACTCCACGGGTCCAATCTACGGGCCGGGCGGGCGGTGTACGTAATGAGGCCCTAGTGCCCCGCCCCGCCCCGCCCCGCCCCGCACTGGTTCTATTTCCAGCCCGTCACAAGGGCCTCGCCTCGCCTCGCCTCGCCCCGCCCCGCCCGCGGCCCGACCAGAGAGCGTCCCGTCCAGCCCGACCCAGGAGGCCAGTCCGGCCCCAACTGGAAAAGTTTCGTTGTATCCAGAGCAGCAGTCCATCGCGCCGGGCGGGGCGGGGCTAGGCGGGGCGGGGCCGGGGCCGGGTGGGGCGAACAAAGGGGGTCGGGTAGGCTACGCGGCGGCACCGGTGTCCCGCGGGTCGGCCTACCCAGCCGGGCGCTCCGGCCTCGGCTACAGCCGACCTCCTGCCTGCAGAGCAGAGTACAGCCCGCGGGTGTCGACGCGGTACAAACGTTTTAATAACTGACGCTTATTCGACTGTTTAGAGCTGCTGCCTGTAAAAGTCACTACCTGTCTTTCAGATTGGTTTTAGCACCTCTGTAGGGCGGTAGTGGAGTGTCAAGGCCTGTG